GGACATCAAATTTGATGTTGAACTTGTGCATGACACATGCATAGTGTCTTGTACAGTACTTTTACTGTTTATAACACTTTTATTTCTCAAAGGATTTTCTATTCCAGTTTTTAAACTGTTTTCAGAATTTATTTTGTCTACACATCGCCTATCATTTCTCTGTCTCACATCATCTGACACCACATCAGCTTCTACAACAATCTGACCCTTTCTTTTATTCTTTCCCATGCTATTTACCTGAGCACTGCCTAGTCAAAAATAAAAAAATAATTACACATCAACTTTATTTCTACCAACACCTAGCAAAAATATAAAAGGTTCGTATCTCTGGATACCTATAAAAATGAAAGGTATCCCACCGTGGATGCCAAAAATGTAACGCTAGCGGTTCTGCTAACTGCATATGGTATAAATGATTAAATCAACTTCCTTCATAAATGTACCTTTCGGAAAGAAGACATAAGATTATAAACATTAAACAATTAAATTTATTAAATACATTATCAACAAACAATTTATTTCAAACGACGACATTCACACCACATTCATACCAAATTAACAATAAAAAATTAAGTTTTAATAAATAAAATAAGAAAAATCATAGCGTAAAACAGACTGTAAAACCACCCAAAAATCTATCGTCTATTTCCCAATGTCTAATAATGAAAACAAGCCGTAATTATTTATAACTTTGACTTGTAAAACTTAACACAAGCTTTACTGTATTAAACAGGTTAGCTTGTTAAACTCCTAAACACTTTATTAAAACGGGACACAAGTCGTGGTCATTTATAACACTGACTTGTTAAACCTAACGCAAGCTTTACTGTATTAAACAGATTCAGGTTGTAAATACTACGGGCCAAATACGATAAGTCCGGTAATCTTTATTAAGTTAAAAGTAAAGTGAAATTAAATTCCGAAATTCTCTAATGAATAATTCTATGAAAAATTCTAAAGAAAAATTTACGTATCTAGAAAAATAAAATTACTGAATCTAAACAAAATAAAAATTGACTTTCGTTGAATTAATCAACTTTAGTCATCATAAAAGAGAAAGATAGCAAACGTATAACTTTTGTTCCGTAGTTTGCCGTAAAATAAAATTTAAATAAATGTAGAGTAAAATTGTAAAATAAAATAACCCTAGATAAATTAATTACCGGTACTGAAGAGAACTACTCAGTCATAGACTGTTGAGTTCTTAAACTACCGATCACGGACAATAGTATTTTACTTTTTAATGTCCTTCACGGTTAAATCCTATCCTAACTAAATAAATGAAAAATTAAATAAATTCCTAATTTAAATAAAAGATAGACAAAATTAAAAGTTATTATAAAATCCTAACAAAAATCTACAAGCTCCGTAAAACGGACCTACCAAATCAAAATAAGCAGAAGAGTGACTAGAATTATCGACTATACAATCAATAGGAGAACAATTTATCGAATAGATTAACAAGTTTCTAAACCGGAAGTACATCGTATAGAAGATTTCCAAAACTGTCAAACATGTGCCAAAAGAAGTTTAGACTGTTTACAGGTACCAAATCAATTAAGTAACACTAAACAAACAACAATCACATACTTTAACGCACAGTTATAGGTTGCTATATATACGTAAGTAATAATCTACAAATGACCCACTTTACAAATCTCCTGTCAAACTCTAATTCAGTTCGAATTATCTCTGTCATGTTTACATTGCCAACATACTATGATACCATAATATACTCTTGATTTCAAGTATTTATAAATACAGTTACATAACTTAGGTACAACTTTGCGAACAGCACATTCATAGTAAAACAAAATAAAACTTCTTCAATAAACAAACTTCATCAACCCGCTCCAAATCACTATAAAGCATGATAGCATTTTACAGACATTGACTCTATTTGATAGAGAAATCAACCCTCTCCACACTCACACAATTACAGTAAAATATTACAGTCATTGACTCAGCATGAATAAACACTATATTGTGGATTAAATAATGAATGTCATATTCCCTAACTACATTATATAAAAAAATTTAAAAAAAAAAGGGGGGGGGGGTCACATACACTACAATTTGATAATTTTATAAACCACATCTATTAAAAATCTTTTGTACAAATGATATCCATGAGTTTTTCATTTCCTTTTTATCATGTTGTTTATGTAAATACATATATACTATTCTAGACAATTTGTTTTCTTTTTCATTCACAAGTTTTGCCCAATATTTTATCATTCTTGAGTAAATATGTATGTGTAATGGAAACCTTCCAGTTTCTCCATAAATCATATAACTTGGGAGTGCTACTTTTCAAATCCATATATGTTTTAAATAACTAAAATGTACTCGTTCAATAATATCGATATTTTCATAACCCCATTTTTCACAGCCATATAACAATACTGGTAAAACTACTTTATCAAACAAATTCAATTGACATTTGAAGGGGAGATTATATGCTTAATTTTACGTACCACACCATACATCGCCTTTGGTGCTTGTTTGCTTAGGTGTTTTCTTGCTTTACACAACTAGCCTGTACGAGAAAATAAAATCCTCAAATAATTCAAATCCTTGACTACTTCTATGACACTGTATCTTGTTTTCTTTAATATTCACACATAATTTTCATTCTTCACAAAATTTGCAAAATTCATTTAATGCTCTCTAAAGATCTTCAGCGGTTTCCTCAAGAATTACGGTATCATCGGCATTAAATAAGACAAAAAGTTTCATTTTGAAGCCAAAACGCATTGCAGCTCGTTTCAGTTTTTTTCTTTTCATTTCGACATTTCCTTTGTTCAAGACAGCATATTAAAACAATGGTTTTTTTTGTTTTATAAAAAACAATGACATCATTTTATGTTCAACTTAAAATTAGAAAATGTAAAATTTTGTATTTTAAAATATTGATTGATTAGACGCTTTTTAATGTGTTTGTCTTTTTCCATTCTAACAATATACACTTTAAAACGTGACGTTTAGTTGTGACGCGGAGACACCCTTTATGTTTGAATCCAATTAAACAGTTTTTAATGAAATTTTCAATTTTGATAAAATTCATACATCTTTATGCATCTTTTAGTACATTATATTTGATAATATGACGCAAAATATTTCAGATATTGACCGTACGTTTTACATGATTTTTGGATCAGTCCTTATACATTTTATTTGATTCAATAACTAAAAAGGTACAAAAAGGTTATTAATTATAGAGAAAATATAACAAGTAAACTGTTGCGTTTTCAATCTTCAAGTCGTTTATATCTACTGGATGGGGAGGAGAAGGAACAGCAACATGTCACCTGTAAACACAGAAGCAAACAAAATGCACTACATGCCCCTCCCCTCCGATAATTTCGTTTTTTGCAGCTGTGCTTACGTCAGTCCACTTGGCAAGCAATTCTCATAATAAAAGTATACGGTTACATTAGGTATTAAATGAATTTCGCCAGAAAAATAAATTATAAATTTTAATTTTTAATATACGAAACTTATTGCCTAAAAATCTTTCTTTTTCTTAATTAAAGTTGTTATTTTAATTAAAACGAGACGTCTCCATATCAGTTAAATATTCTGGAGAGGGGCGTTAAACAATATACAATCAATCAATCAATAATTAAAACGATTACACGTGTAATTTATGTGGCTAATGTTGCAATTCAATATCAAGGAAACCATTTATCAATCATTACTCTTTTTGTGGTCAATATGATGATTAAGCTATATACATGTAAGGAAGACAATATTCACCGAGCCTGAAAGGCTTGTGCAGATGAGCATAAATTATTGCAATATTAGATCTCAGCCAATAATTATTCAACCCTATAAAAGTTTTTTTTATTTCCTTATATTTTTTTTCTGAAAATGGTGCATTGTTTTCTATATTTTTGATACGTTTTCTCTTAACTTTTTCCCCTCTATTACATAAAAAATGGATCTTTTTATGGATCATATTTGAGAAAAAATACCCTTATATCTCTTTAGTTCTAAATCACTGATGCATAGTTAGAAACTATATGTGAATATGTCTCTCAATATTAAATTTGATAAAACAAATTCAGTTTTATAATGCCTAACTAGGCAATAGATTGGTAAGTATATCCTGAGGCGTTATGATCAAGATTTTTTTCTCCAGAGAAAGAAAATGATGGCTAGAAAACTCAGTGATCTGTGTATCATTATCAATTCGTGGGTATATGACATTAAAATGTAGAACCACGTGTTGAGTGCTAAATCTAATTTATTCCAGAACGAGACAACATGGTAACATAATAGGTCGTACATAAGATTATTCGTATTTGATTAACTCGTACTTTTATACATATGTTACATCTCCCTTCTTTAGCTGAAATTTATACATTAATCAAATCCGTTAAATCAATCAAGTCCTTTCAGTTCAATAAAGTCAATAGTATGATTTAGAATAATCTAGCACTCATTTCATATATGAAATAAAACAATAATTGACTAGATATTTAAGATAATTGACTAGAAATTGGCTAGAAATTAAACATGAAACACAACCTAAAACTAAGTTAACATATTGGTATGAACCAGGTTTCATCTAGTAACACACAGATAAGGGATTATTATGCCATTAGACACAATCTGTGTGACCTAACAAAATCAAACACTTCAGGATCAATCTTGGAGGCGCTTTGGTGTTTTCACAACTCTACCACTCCTGGTTGTTACAACGGATGGATCAGCTTGAGTTTGCTTGGGTTTGTTGAGAGTCGGTCCATGAACAGGTGGAATAGGCTTCACAGGAGACTTCGGTAAAGGATCGCGGTTAGCTGTTCTTGGTTTCTCAGGTTCCTTCATGTGTGACGAGTCAGTGTTCATGGTGTTTGGATAAGGCTCTGAGTTAATCTCTAATCTTCGCATAGGAGACAACTCTCTAGCAAATGTTTCTTTGCTTGTCCTTAAATGTCGTCTGTTTCGGCGGTATTCTCGTCCATATTCTGTCCTGATGTTATAGGAACGAATGTCTACTTGTCCTTGTAGTTTTCAGCTTTCTTCCAAGATTTCTCGTTTCCTTTCGGTCGTACGCGAACTACATCTCCTTCATGTAACGGTGACATTTCTTTGGCTCCTTTATTGTAATAATGCGTTTCTCTTCCCTTTCTACAGCGAAGCTGTTCCTTGACTTTGTCAGCATACCGGGGTTTGAGCATGTTTTCGGAGACAGGTAATAAAGTCTTTGTTCTCCTCCCAAAGATCCTCTGTACAGCAGAATATCCAATATCCTGGCTAGGTGTGTTTCTAAGGTCTAATAATGCTAGGTATGGATCCTTCTGATCAGCAACACTCTTGTTTATCAGGCGTTTTATAATCTTCACGGCATTCTCAGCTTTACCGTTGGATTGCGCATAATTCGGTGAAGACGTTACGTGGTTGAATTCATATGTTCTCGAGAATTCAGCAAATTCCTGACCATTAAATGGTAGTCCATTGTCCGAGACTAGAGTGTCGGGTATCTCATGTCTTGCAAGGTGAGCTTTCAATTTGCTGATTATGGTGCTACCGGTTTTACTATGTAGACGGTCAACCTCGAAGTAGTCAGAGTAGTAGTCTACTGTAATCAAGTAGTCTTTGTTTTGGCACTCGAATAAGTCACACGCAATGACAAGGGCTAGTTGGAATTCTATGACTAATCATTGGTTCCTTCACTTGATCATTTGCCTACATGTTGCACGCTTCACATTTACTTATGAACAGTTCAATGTCTTTAGCCATATTTGGCCAGTAAAGGCTCTCCTTAGCTCTTCGTAGGCATCCTTGAATTCCTATGTGAGAATAGTGGATCCTCTCAAGAAGGTGACTGCGTATTTCTACCGGAACTACAATCCGTTCACCTTTATAAATGAGTCCATTTTGAACAACAAGTTCCTCACGAAATGGAAAATAAGTCTGAATATCTGTATGAACTTCTGCCCTCGTCTCAGGCCATCCGGACTTAATAACTCCTTTCAGCATATCCATAGTTTCATCTCTTTCTGTTGCCTTTCTGATTTCCACAATGCGCTGCTCCGACACTGGTAGATATTCCTTATAATCTACATTGTGTACTTCTACAGGGTCCTTTTCTTCAAGGTCCTCTGGCTGAGCTTTAAGATATGCTCTGGATAAAGTATCAGCAAAGTACATTTTAGTACCTCTTTTGTAGAGTACTTCATAGTCAAATTTTTGAAGTCTCAGCAACATTCTTTGTAGTCTCTTTGGTGCACTGTGTAGATTCTTCTTGTGTATTATCTCAAGTGGCTTATGATCAGATTCTGCAAGAACGTGTCTTCCATAAGTATAATTCTCAAATCTTTCCATTCCGAAGACAACCGCGAGTAACTCCTTTTCAATCTGAGCGTAATTGCATTCGGTCTCTGTAAGTGATCTTGAAGCATACATTATTGGGTGTCCCTCTTGAAGTAGACAAGCTCCAAGGCCAGATTCGGATGCATCACACTGTAAAACTAGCTCCTTGTGTTCATCAAAGAATCTCAACACTGGAGTGTTCGACAAAACAGTTTTTACATCCTTGAATGCTTTACCATGGATATCTTCATCCCATCTGAAATGTGTGTCAGATTTCAGAAGACTTCTTAACGGTGCTGTAATTTCAGCCAGCTGTGGCGCAAATCGTTGAACGAAGTTTGTCATCCCAAGAAGTCTCTGCACTCCCTGTCTGTCCTGGAGAGTTGGCATCTCTCGTATTGCTTTCACTTTCTGCGGATCTATGCACAGGCCATTTTTAGAAATGACAAATCCTAGGTAAGTGACAGAGTCTACTTTTAGTTTCATCTTCTCCTTGTTCAGTTTAACGTTTCTTTCTAAACATCTCTGTAGCAAGGCTTCCATCTTGCGGTCATGATCTTCATGAGCCTCCTTGTCATTGTCTCCACATCCATAGATCAAGATGTCATCATGAATAGGTTTGATGCCGTCAAGTCCTTCTAAAGCTTCTTCCATGCGTCTCTGGAACTCCTCGGGAGCAGGTGATATCCCAAATGGCATTCTCAACCATCTGTATCTTCCCCACGGCGTTGAAAATGTGGTAAGATAGCTACTCTGCTCATCCATAACAACATGCCAGAATCCGTCTCGTGCGTCAACTACAGAGAAAATACGTGCCTTGCCTAAATCTGGAAGTATGTCCTCAATTAGTGGAGTAGGGTAATGGTTTCTTTTAAGAGCCTGATTCAGTGGTCTTGGATCAATACACAACCGAATCCGTCCATTTGACTTAGGCGCTACAACAAGACTCGAGATCCAATCAGTAGGAGTATTCACAGGTTTGATGATCTCTAACTGTTCTAGTCTATCTAGTTCTTGTTTCAGTTTGTTTTTGATAGCGATTGGCACTTTCCTTGCTGGCATTTTCACCGGTTTCACATTTTGGTCTACTTCCAATGTCAGTTTTCCATCTAGTTTTCCTTGTCCTTCAAACACTGATTTGAATTTGGTCTCCATCTCCTTTTGAATGTCTACAATTTCTGCTACTACTTCTTCCCGCACCTCTTGTTTGGACAGAAACTCCTTATGGTTTACTGTGATGAAGTCCATTGCTTGGATAGCTTTGATCCCTAGAATTGCATGAAGCTGTTTGCCCTCAACAATCTCAAATTCCAAGTTGTATTTCTTCTGATTTCTCGGATTTCTTACACTCAAACGCACTTTTCCTAGAGTCTTTGTTTCACTTTTGTTGAACATAATAAGTGTCACATTGGATTTTCTCAACTTGTTTCAATCTGGGTCATCAGAAAGTTTGGTGTAAATGTGATGTGGTAGGATGTTTACAGTTGATCCATTGTCAAGTTGAAATTCAACAAGTTTTTTATTGATGTTCATCACTGCTGTTATTTTCCGAGATCCTATTTCATTCACGTGCCCTACTGTCAAAACAAATTCTTCTTCTGATGAGTCATCTGAGTCAAAAGCTCGGCTTGCGCGCACTTTATGAACATGCTTTTGTCGACTCCGAACTTTCGTGGCTTTACACATTTTGGCAAAATGGTTAGATTTTCCAGTTCTTGCACATAGCTCCATACGCCGGACATTTCTCCTTCCTTGGTGCATGTTTATTTCCGCAGTACTTGCATGACAGAAATTGATCAGTCTCATATTTTCCTGATGCTCCTTGTACTTTATGTCTCTTTTCATTCTTACTTGGAAGTTTCCCTTTATGTGACCTGCCTTTCACAACTTGTACATCCTCAATGTTTCTTAATTGTGATGCTGTTTTCTCATTGGCTCTGCAAATATCTATGCATATCGGTAAGTCTAACTTCTTTTCTTGTAAGAGTTTCTTCCTTGTGTTGTTCTCCCGAATGCCTAACACGATCCGGTCGCGTATCATTTCATCCTCAAGCGCTTCATACTTGCATGTTTTGGCTAAAGTTCTCAACACGGCTACGTACGCATCTATAGTCTCATTTGGTTCTTGGTCTCGCTTGTTAAAAGTGTAACGTTCAAATATTTCATTGGTCTGTCCTACACAAAACTCTTCCATAGCTTTGATTACTTCATCAATTTTCTCCTTATCACCAGCATTTTGAAACTTTAACCCGTCAAACACACGCAGTGCATCTGATCCCATACACTTTAGGAAAGTGGCGCAACGCAACTTATCATCCTTCTCGTGTAGTCCAGTGGCTATTTCATAATTTTTCCACACTGTCTTGAAGTGTTTCCAATTATATGCCAAATCTCCCTTCATATCCAATGCTCTGGGGAAAGGAATGTTCAGTATAATGGGGTTAGAGTTCAAAATCACATTGTTATGACCCTCGTCGTCGCTGGACATTGTGAAAAGTTCGAATTTCCTCGAAGTCACTCACAAACAATGTATTCTATGCACAATGGAGATTTCTCCGATTGTCTTACCGTTCGCTCTCGTAGAATGGCCAGTCATTCACACATTTTACTCACTTCTGACACCATGTATCATTATCAATTCGTGGGTATATGACATTAAAATGTAGAACCACGTGTTGAGTGCTAAATCTAATTTATTCCAGAACGAGACAATATGGTAACACAATAGGTCGTACATAAGATTATTCGTATTTGATTAACTCGTACTTTTATACATATGTTACAATCTGTTTCCATGACTAACTTTCCAGTACTGTCTTCATGTACAGGCTATTTCAAAACATGATATTTATATAACTCACCTGTCGCCCGCATGGCGCAGTGGTTAGACAGTTTGTGCTAAGCTAGAGTGGCATGTAAAAAGCCCTCTTAGGTCGCGCATTAGAATCAAGATACGGAACGTGGAGACTGATGCTTCAGATCAGACCGTATAAACCTAGGTCCCATACCACACAAAAATAAATAAATAAATAAAGATAACATAAAACTTATGTTTTTTTGCTTAAATTTATATTCCACAATGTAAAAAAACCCTTAAAACTTTAAAACAAAAACATTAATCATTATTACCAATTTCGTGGGGTCAAGTTTTCGTTGAGGAAAAATATGGGTTCGTCGGGGATTTAATGGAGGAAGAATTGTTGAGCAGTAATATCTGTGAGTCTCGAGAATTAAACCCCAACTAAAATACATTATGCAAAATAATTTCAAATTTTATTTGAACAGAATTAGAAAAAAACCCACTTATTTGTATATAGTTGAAAATAAAATGGACAAGTGTTACATACTAATGATAAACGCATTACAATATATTAAAAAAATTCATATAACATAACGGTATGATTTACAGTAAAATATTTATAAGTAGAATGCAAATTACAAATAACCCTAAATTGTATCATTAGGAATTTCTTAATATCTAAATCCTTTTAATTTACCACAATTACATTTATTTATCATCATTAGAAATTCTTATAGGTATATAGAAAGAAACAAATATTTCACTTTCATATTTGAATTGATGTATTACTACATGAAATATTTTATTTAATCTTCATATTTTTAAGAGTCAGTCCGTAATCATGGTATACTTTGTTGTTTTCTGTCACATGGGCGACTACGTGAACATTACAATATGGGTTTGCAACTTCCGCAATGTATTGGAGTACTTTCAGTGTCAGTATTCACTAAACAGTCACAGCGTAAATCCATTTATAAGGATGATGTGCCGTCCTGTAAAATTAATGATGAAATTTTATCGATTCGGGCAAATTTTATTTATTTTCCTATGCTCAACCAGTTCAGCAGTTGTATTGACTAGGCAAAACATATGTATCAGGTAAGTTAATCTGAATAATTGGTTAATGCAAATATGAAATAAAACAAATCGCATGATATATTGATACATTTTCATATTTACATTCAGTGTAATTTTCTTTATGAAATTTTATCGATTCAGGCAAATTTTTTTCATTTTCCTCTGCTCAACCAGTTCAGTAGTTACATTGACTGGGGATAAAGTATGTCACAGGTAATTTAATTTACTCTGAACAATTGTTCAATACAAATACAAAATTAATCAAATCTTATTTTACATTAATATATTTTTTGTAGAGGGAATGAAACTTCCTGTTGTAAAGACTATGAAGAAAGAAATAACATATGTGTTGGTACGTTTTGACTATCATACTGCAGGAAACTTTTTGTGTAAATATTTCAATGAAACTTCAAGTCTAAATGGATTTTATTTTTAATACAAATACAATGTACTATTAATTGCGTAAAGTAACTATACATCTTTGTTTAATTATTTTACATACCCATTGTTATATATAGAGTGTAGACCTGGATTTCGGGGGTTTGATTGCAACTTGACATGTCCTGAAAATCATTATGGTCCGCGTTGTAATATGCCATGCAATTGTAATAACATATCTGAGTACTGTCATCCTGTATGTGGATGTATTTCAAATCTGACCAAACCTTTGATGATTGACAATGTTACCAACACGGAACATTACGTTAACATTACAGATTTAGAGCAAACCATTTCGGTGGAATCGTGTTTATCTTCGATTAATAAATCCATGGAAACAACAGACAAATCCATCGAAACAAAAAACAACAACTTTGGAAAACCCGCTGGTAGTATAACTTTACATTCTGTATTAAGAGAAAAATAAAGAAAAATCAATGTTATTATTGTTTTTTTAAAAAACAAAATTAATCTACATCTTATATTGGTGTTCAATAAGTACATTTTGTATCAATTCTATCGATTTTTTAAAAGCAAATATTGAATCTTATATAGAAACCTCCTAATTTATTAGATCGGAATATGAGATTAAATGCAAAGAAGACTGAGCACTGTTAAAATGACGATTTTCCATTAAAGAATAATGATATGAAAGATATTTTTACATTAAATATCATTGAAATAGGGATCAACAATGCTTAAAAAGACGCTGGTAAATAATACTCCTTAATTGCTCTTTGATTATACAATAAGGAGATATATCTAATAATAAAAAAAATACTCGCTATCTTAGCATGTTTTCGGTTACAATAATATTTGAATGCAAATATCTGTGAATTTATTCCGAAGAAGAAAACACGAATAATTTGTAAACATAAAGAAACACCTAATCAATTGATAATATAAAAAACCTAGAGAAAAAAATCATAATCCTGGACAAAGTAACCTTATTATCTTTAAGGTAGAATACGAAGCCCGTTTACATGTACACACTTGGGCTTTTTCGAAAAATATGTGTTGAAACCAAAAAATATTGTAACTATCAGTAATCAATCTCGAAAATCAAAATTGAATCGTGAACACAAAACTTGAAAATACAAGAGATTGAATCAGGTATGGAAGAACGAAAAGCATTTTCTGTCGACCAGTCCCACAGGCAAGGACCTAAGATTTCATTGAATAGACGAGATTCTCTTTTTCTAGTCAAATTAATTGTAAATGCCATGACCTTAAAATTGATATAAAACAGGTCAGAAAAAATACGACTCAGAAATTGGTTGTATTTATAGAAAAGGGCATTTAGATGACAATTATATTTTCAAAAAGCTCAGTCTAAGCTATTTTTAAAAATTTTTGTAGCATCAATTTCTTTGACAGTAGCTTACCTCAAGAAAACTGATCGTTTCAGAGCGTGTACTCGTGTACTACATGTACTAGCAGCTCATATACTTAAGAATCATTATGATAACTAGAGCAAAGCTCGTTGCAAAGCAACGAAAAGGTCTTCCGTCCTGTTTTGACCAAAAGTGACGTCAGCAAAAAGAAAGAAATGAACTTAGTTGTCTCCAGTCACTTTACAATTTCAATTTTGCATCAAAACCTTAAAACATAAGCTATTTTTGGCTACTTCCGGTTTGACCGGAAGTGATGTCGATGGTCGGAAAATTAAGTTCTGTGCTTCCTGTGATATATGTTACCCAAAAACTTGTCAAGAACAGCAAAATATGCATTTTATGACTACTTCCGGTTTGACCGGAAGTGACGTCGCTGGACGCACTTTGACGACTTCATTAGATAAAGCTTGACATTTTGAACATTATTGCTTCTTGGATGTATTACAAATTCTTAATACTTTTTGAGATATCTGGAAAACACTTTTGGCCCCTCTTGATCCCTTAATTTAGGGGTCAGCCCTTTTTTTAGATATATCATTTAAAAGATCTTGTAATTCTGCACAAATTTTGTTTTATATGTTTTAACAAAATATTTTTAGTTTAGTAGATAAAAAGCAAAATATGTGTAAATTTTCGCTCTTTTAGGCGTTCTAATTTTTGACCCCTATATAGCACCATTTTGAATACAGAAATCGAAAAACAAAAACCACTATGCACAATTTCAATCCTTCTATTATCTAAACTCAATGAATTTTTGCTCCAGCTTTAGCCGTCTCTGAGCCTTTGTCTGGAAACGAAAGCCTATAAATTTTCGTTTAAATGGAAATAACTCAAAACCGGAAGTGACTTTTTGAAATTTTAGATAGCATTCTGATAGAATTTAGTAACGTCTATCAACTCTGAAAATTTGAGCAAAATCCATTGAGAAATGAGTGAAATATGAGGCCTCAAAGTTGGCGTCTAGGAAAAGGAAAATAAAAAGAATAATAAGAACTAGACCAAAGCTCGTTGCAAAGCAACGAGTAGGTCTTCCGTCCTGTTTGACCGGAAGTAGCTTTCATTTTCAACAAAAATGAGAAATAACGCCTAAAAATGGTTTGAATCCTCTAAAGCTATGTTAATTAGTGCAAAATTAAGTAATATTTGCTACTTCTGGTTTAACCGGAAGTGAGACGACAGACGGAAAATTGATTCTTATGATCCCAGAGACATATGTTACCCAAAAAACTTGACAAGAACGGCAAAAAATACGCGTTTTTGACTACTTCCGGTTTGGCCGTAAGTGACGACGCTGGACGTATTTTGAAGAGTCAAATGGATTATGCTTGTCATTCTGAACAACTTTGCTTCTTTGAAATATTGCAAATTCTCAATACTTTTCGAGATATCAAGTAAAAACTTTTGGCCCCTCTAGATCCCTAATTTTAGGGGTCAGCCCTTTTTTCGAGATATCATTTGAAAGATCTCAGAATTCTTCACAATTTTTGTTCTATATCTTTTGACAAAATATTTACAAGTAAAACGATACAATAGAAAAAGTGTAAGAAATTTTGAAACGCACAATATGACTTTTTTCAGGCCATACCGAGCGTTAACGTGCAGTATTTCCGGTGAAAGTTAACAACACAATGCAAATCTACATTTGTTGCTCTATCTTCCAGAAAAGGTTTCATCTTCCTGTGATGAGCGGTTTTTAAGAAGAGCGACGGACAAAATGACCCTTAAAAATCACAAAATTGCAAAAATCTTCGAACCGGAAGTGACGTCATCAAAATGAAAAAAAAATACATCAAGTTTTTCTTATGTTCTATCAGACCTGAAAGTTTCATAAAAATATAACCAACCGTTTTTGAGAAATCGCGTGCACAAAATCGGTAAGAAAAAAAATAAGAAGAAAAACAGTGGAAACAAACGAATAACAAGAAGGTCTTCCGCTGAAGACGGAAGACCTTAATAGTGGAAAAGAAACCTAAGAAAAACAATAAGGTCTTCCGCTGAAGACGGAAGACCTTAATAATCTTAATCATCAGAATCAGTAGAAGGTCTTACGTTGGAAACGGAAGACCTTAAATATCAACACAAATGATGTTAAAATAAAGCTGTATAAGTAAGGGAAATTACTGATGGAATGCTGAATTCATCCCGTTTTTAATACATTCAAGTTCAAAGTTGACCATTATTGAGTTGGCCCTAATCGATTTTGTCAGTAAAACATCCGAAGAGATGTGCCGCACTCTGTAGTGACACTTAATACGCAGATGATGTTAAAGTAATTTATATCGAGGTCACTAGAATATATTAAGTCAATATTTGCAAAGGTAATTAATGTTTAGGTCTAATTTGAGAGAGATAGCAACTTCTGTCTACTTAAAAATTATTTCAAAGTAATTTTTAGAGAAGAAATTGCACTTACTCTTTTTTGTAACATAACTTTAACAATCGGTGTGTTATGGATAAATATCATTAAACATTAACTGACACTGTTTTTTAAATAGAAAAAACTAATGGTCATTATCCATTGTATGGCCAAATATTATTTTTCATGCTTCATGGATCGGTGAGCAGAAGATAAATGCATGCATCTTAAAACGATACATGTATGATAAAACGTAAATACATTCATATCAATTTAATAACGAAGTACAGTGAACATATCGAGTATTCTATTATTTGTTGTCTTTAATAATCTTACAGATGAAAGACCCTCCATTAAAGACCACACAATTTTGATTGTATTTCTTGTCGTAATGCCATGCGTGTTATCTGCCTGCTTGCTCCTCTTTTTCGGAATAACTTACAGGTAAAATAGATTTTTATTGTTTTTCTAAATGACAATCAAATCATAAAACCTAAGAATTTAATCTTTAATGATTGCATTGATAAATATATTGTAGAAAATGTTATACCAGAAAGAAAGAAGAAGGACATGGTAAGCTAACGATGAAGTATTTTATCCCCTATTCTTAGCAAGTAGATTATAGCCAAATACAATGTAACATAACTTCCCAGAAGTACTTTACATAATTATTACTTTTTTTCATAATCGTGCTAACTTTCCTTCTGTGTGTAAAGGATCTAAATTGTGTTAAATTAAACATAAATATGATATAAAAACTAATTAGAACTAGAGATACTGTGAGCAATGAGGTAACTAAATGATACCCCCGCCTCCCATGTGAATATAATGGCAGTGTCTATGTTTTGCTTTGGGAAACTCTAAATATGAGTTGGATCAAAAGGTAAAATAGGGGGTGCACAATGGCAATATGTAACAAAGATTCTGTGAAAGTTTCATCAAATTTCATTCAGGGGTATGAGAGGAGTTCTGGATAAGAGATGGGTACCCCAAAACGTAACAGACGGACAGACAGTCGGGCGGACGAACATTCCGATTATTATATAGAAAAGCGGGAGGGTATAATAAGATTTTAAAGTACTTGAGGGTGGTGTGTTGTTTTCAATGGGTCGTACATAAAGATTGCAATAACGTACTTGTTTTCCCTCTCAAGGTAGATATTTTATGCAAAGAACAAAAATCAAAGTTTGAGAAAGGTTTCGTAATAATCAATATCTTCAGAAAGAAAAATAAATAGTAGGAAGATCATGTCAGTTCTGCTCTCTAGAAAAGACGCCCCAGAGAAACCAAACATGAACACAGGGTATTTTTCAAAAGAAAGAAATGAGAGAAAGTTGCATTTAAAGTTGGCAAATCGTAAACTGTACTATTAATGGAGTTGAAAAATTATTTATATCAAACGATATCGATGAACAATAATTTTCAATGATTATATATATATATATATATATATATATATATATATATAGGAAATAAAGCACATGAATTTCAACAAACCTAAATTTCAATTTAAGTCACCAGAAATCATTTTAATATTTTTTTTTAACTATAAGTCTGATTCAGATTGACTTCATAGAATTTATTTGAAACAAAGAGCTGAAAAAAAAGAAACTTGCTAATTGATATTCCAAAATGATATTTCATTTCTTTTTATTTTCAAAGATGGTGTTCATAATGAACTATATATAACCCAAGAAGGAAACAGTGAAAACAACCCTGTAAGCAGAGAAGATACATCTGAAGATCCACTCTATGGTTTCTGTGAGGACCCTTGTTATAGTACATTAACACTGAGGGTTAACTATGGCCCTATACATAAATATAAATTATTTATTTATTTTTGGAATGTTCGTATGTCGAACATCAACGAATATAAATGAATTTAGTTGAACCGCTCATTGTGTGACGTCAACAGTCCAACATCTCATCGACAGGTCCAACATCTCATCCGCGATCAAATATCAAATTTGCTTTAATCACCGCTTAGCACTACATTGGAAATATTAGACTTTTATCAGTATTGATTTATACAGTAATACATTTTAAAGGTAAAAGAATATGCAACCATTGCTTTTTAAGGTCAGTATGATGATGATGAAGCCATGCAAGGAGTACAATAGTCACCGAGCCAGGAGGGGTTCGAGCAGATGTACATAATTTACTATTTTATGATAATTGCAAAACTGCATATCAGCCAAAGATTTTTTTTAATTTGTATTTTTTATCTATTTCCTTGTTATCTTCTCCCCTGAAAATAGTACATTTATTCTATATTCATAATAATTTAAAGTGCATTTATTTAAAAGTATCGATGGAATAAAATTCTGAATAGTTTTAAATTCATGATAATAATCATATTATCATCAGTAAATAGACATACTTGAAATTTGAAAAATCATCTTTACAGTCAAATACATGAGGTTTTAATTTTCAAATAAGTAAAAAGACTGTTCTGTACTGTTGTGACTAAGTAAAAGCCAGAGCCGATCGTAATTACCATGCTCTCCCATTTAAATGTTGCCTGGGTACCTGCTGTTGCTATATATAGACTTAGGAATAAACCTTCCACACAGACTTTTATTTGGCAAGTACTTTCAACTATGACTCGTAGGAAATTGATGATTGATATGTTTTTCTAATTGATTTATGTGTATTCTTACTACATATCTTCCTTTAAATTGAAAATTCAAGAGTAAAGCTGAATATATATATTTTTTAATTGTAACTCTGGGGTAAGAATGGGGCAAAAATTATTTTAAAATTATGCATAATAAATGCATGAAGAAAAGGCAGAATTCAAAGACAAACTTATGTAAAAGATTCATTTCAAGATATTTTACCTGTGTTACATGATGTCATATTGGTCTTTTCCGTATGGATGCAGGTTTGGTTAAGACATCTCTCTTTGAGACTATTACTGTGCAACACAATTGAATGTAATATATGTGCACTGTGTAGAGTGTGGTCAATTAAGTGAACTCTTAACATATCACACTGAGCACGGACTGACAATTTTGGTAGGTTGGTTTGTTTCTCACATTACTACTTTACTTTTCTTTAGTATAAAGGACAACGGTTACTTTATGAAAGTGCAAGGTTGTGTCATTTAAACACGTCCCGAGATTCGTAGTTTCAATAGTCTCCTATAAAATAAGTTTATTTTATTATATTTCCGTGTGAAATGCTTTATCAACGTATAAGTCATGATATAATATCGAACATCTGTGTTGAAGCCTCTTTACAACTAATTTCCAACCAATTTCATCTTACTACCATGTTTTATATAAGGTCTTCCTTTGTTTTATCGATCATATACTTTCCATAACAATTTTATATGTTTTTATTGATATATTGTTATTTATTGTTAGCAAAACCATTGTACAGGGCATAGAAAGTATATGTGATTTTGCGCTTTATAAATTGATAAAATAATAATAATACAATGATCCACAATAAAAAAAAAACTTTTATTAATAAAACTGTCGTTCCCGAAATCCATTTGTACAAAATCAGGAGAAACAATTAAAAACAAACTAATGACAGATATCATTGCAACTGTAATATTAAAGTGTATAAAAATAAAATCCTATACTTAATGAATTATCTATTTATTTTATAAGTAGGTTGCAAGTCACTTTGCCCATAAATTGTATCAATAAGATTGTTATTTTCTTTACTATCTCAAAACTTTTTTATCACCGCAATTACATTTAGAATTAGAAATAAATATTTGACTATCATATGAATATTACTTATAAATCTATGATTTGATATTAATATTTTCTTAAGAGTGAGTCCATAATAACAATATACTTTACTACAATTCTGTATCACGTGATGCGACTACGTGAAAAGTAAAAAATATGTTGAAAACTTCCGCAATAAATCGGGATACTTTTAGGATAAAGCATCGAATGTCAATATTGCCTGTTAAGTCACTGTGTAAATCTGTGATATAAATATGATGTACCTTCGTGCAAAATACATTATGAAATTTTATGGGTTTACTCAATTCTTCATTTTGCTCTACTCAGCCAGTTCATCAATTGAATTGACTGGGGAACACGTATGTGGAAGGTAATAATTCTCCAATGATGCTGGTTAAAAAGCACACTTAAACTTGTCATTCTTCTTTAGTCATTATTTTCAATCCTTTTGTTTAGTACAGAGAATGAAACGTATTGTTGTAAAAACTATGAAGAAAGAAATGATATGTGTGTCGGTAAGTAAGAGATATATCTTGCTTAAAGCAATATGAGCTGCATGTTTGACATCAGAAAATTTTGTAGCAAATTTGTGATTAACTATTTCAATGGCAGAAAAATAGAACATTAAATACTTCTGATGTTCATATTTGCGATGGAAGAACTTTTTATAAGCTTTGATTGAAGCAAAATTATATTATTGTCATCCTGTACAATAATGATTTCTTATAATTATAATACAGATATTCGATTTTAAATATATATTTCTGATGAAATATTTTAAAACTTTTTTTGTTCTTATTGATCATAATGGTTTGAATTACATAAAAATTAATCATAATAACATATTTTACCAGCAAAATATAATTGTCAAAAATGCAGCTTATATTGCTTTAAAAATTTTAAACCTGACTCATAAACAAAAAGATATTTCAATTCCCTTTTTTCTTGATTCCTTTTTTTATTTTCAATATGAACACAAATCTTAGAATTGTGTTTGAAATTTTTCACGCCTTTATTTTATTCTTTTACCCACCCATGTTGACACAAAAAGTGCAGATCTAAATTCTGGGGAGATAAATGCAGCTTGACATGTCCAAAATATCATTATGGTCAGCAATGTAAATTTGAATGCAAGTGTGACAAATCTGAATATTGTCATCGTGTATGTGGTTGTGTGTCAAATTTGTCCAAGGCTTTTGACGACACACAGAAGATTGACAATGTCATCAGCATGCATGACATTAAAAATACAGATATTACACAGACATTTTTGATGGAATCATGTTTATCTTCAACAAAAAAACCCCATTGAATCAACAGTCAACAACAGTGGAAAAAGCACTGGAAGTATAACTTAGCATTCTATGTTTTGCAAAAAATTAGAAACAAAGAAGAAGGTACAGTTTCAATACAAAGTAAGCCCGATATTTTTCTAAAATATGAAAGTGATATAAGAAAACAAAATTCATTCTTTCTAAATCGTAGAAATTCCCTGCAGCAAGAATATACAAATCGTTTTTCTCATATGACTTCCTTAATGCTAATTGTGACGTCATTAACTTGTGCATTTTCCCGTACTTTCTTAAAAAAGTTGCAGAAGACATCAATTTTCAGTGGAATTTTCTTTCAGAAAACATACTCTGCCACCGTCGCCCGGAAAGATTTTAAGATAGATGATATTTCATAACAGTTTACATAATATATCCAAAAATTAAAGTGGGCGACGGTGGCAGACACTATTTTCTAAAGGAAAATAAGTACAGAAATGAGTCGTTTTGAGGCTTTTCTGCAAGAAACTTAGAAATGCACCAAATTAGTGACGTCATACTACCGGAAAGGACCTCATTCATGCCATATTCTTTCGTGATTTATCATATTTATCTACTCAACTATTGTTAAAGCCAATATTATAACTTTTTAAGACCATTCAATTTTTAGGGCACATTAAAGCTCAATCTGTACCTTCTTCTTTGTTATTTTCAAGAAACATAATTAGGCTACATCTTATGTTGATGTTCAATAGCTACATTATGTATCAGTTTTGCCGATTTTCTTGAATAAAATTAAATCATATGTATAAACCTCTTTAATTCAAACAGTTAAAGCTATATATGTCGTATTAGTGTTTTATTTTAAAAGTAATAAATAAATGTGGTGTCTCATCAAGTTATATGAGTTATATACTTTCTGCAAATAAGACAACTCACCTCCATCACTTTTAAAAGTTATGAAATATTTTTTGGTAAAAATTATTTTCTCTCCGTGTCGGATAAAAACCGCCTCTCATTGATATATTCATGATCACGTTGTCTCGTATGTTTACAGCAAACAATGGTCCAATCTCGTGAATGAACCGAAAAGCATGATGGTCTACTACGTTTTTACTACAAACACGTGAGTTAGGGATTGTCAATATTGAGAGCACCTCAGAGTTGGTTGCTTTTTGTACCGAGGAATAATCACGTGCAATTGTCTTTTCAATGGACATTTTTAGTTGGGTGAACTTCTACAGATGTCAGCGACTATGGATAAAGAAGTGTGAAAACCATGTTATGTCAAAATGAAATAACTAATACAAACAAATGATATAATTTGATCAATTAAAATGGTTATTAGATTCTGCATTTCTTAATGGTTCAAAACAACAAAAAGTATTCCACAGAATATCATGTATAAATCTGCACAATATACCGAATGCCAAGACCAGAATACTACTAAATAATATAATTATATTCTTTACATATGAACCACAATATTTCTGACCCCTTGAAAATAATATAAAAAATCTTGCAAGTAGGTTATCAGCATTGGCTCGGGCTAATTCGGAAGTGAAATTTGGAGTTTGGCAGTAAATTGTAGTGAATGAATAAAATTTAGTATAGTGAAAGATATTGGAACCTATTTTACTTGTCAGATTTCTTCGAGCTGGTTGATTTTTATTCTAACTGGTCTATCCCTCCATCCACTTTAGAAAAAACCGATGCTACCTACCTGAATCAATTTTTCTTAATGGTGTTCATCGAAATGCTTGGTTGTGCCCTCAAACTGGAATAGTTGTAGAGGCCTGGAATTCCTTGACCAATTTTATTTTATTAGCCCAACTATATTTCTAAGAAGTCAAGATGTATGGTATGTAAGTTTCATCTACATGTGTTATGTAGTTCATATTAAAAAACCAAAAGGGATAATTGACGATATCCCATTCAGGGTGTAAACATAGCAGTTTAAATTACTTTCCATACATTGTACTTGACATAAAATATTTTTTGCGCATGATGTGCTCCATACTGAAGATCCATAAATGTTCACCCAACCGAAAATGTCCACTAGCAGTACAGCACGGGGAAACTCTAAACAATCAGACCTGTACAATGGAGTGGGGAAAACTTTAATTTTCATCATTATTTATCATTTGTATGCAAATATGAGCATGGGATTAGTAGATAATAATGTACATAATGCATCAAGTCTTTCTGAGAGCGATTTAAAAAACTAACCTTTTTGAAAAACACATGTAGTATTTCATGTAGTAACCCCTAAATGCAACTCATTGAGCTGATTGGTCTATTTGTGTCCCTCACTGAACAGACGTCACAAAAAATATTTTCCTCGACCTGATGATTCTCGCGATGCTTTTCCCGCGCACATGCGCCGATCCAGGATAAACGTCAGTCCTTTATAAATATGCATGAGAATATCGTGTTCTTTTCCTGACCAGTACTTTGTTAATACCGAATAAAATTTCGTCGAATTTGCAAGAATGCTTCATTTTTTGTAGCTTTTCATACTCCAGAAATTTTTGTTCTGTTTCAGCTGTGCAAAAATACTGTTTAATACGGCATACATATCTTTAAGTCGGAATTGCGAGAAAATTGCGTACAGTCAAAATGATGATTTTCGTCAATGAATCATGACTTGAACATTGTGTTTTTTACAGCAATAAATATCACCGAGAAAGGGATTAACACAGCTGTAAAAAACGATGATTAATTATTTGAAAAATTTTGGAAAACTTTTAAACTTTAAAATACCCCCTTAAATGATATTCAATCAAACAAAAAGGGGATGTATATTATAATACTGCCAATCTAAGAATGTCAGTTTTAATGAATAGAATAACAATTATGCATTTGAGAACAATCTGATAAAATTTCAGTGAGTACATGTACGTGCAGATCAATTAAAAAACAAAGTAGAATAAAAATATCGATCAACCAATTGTTTTCGCTTATTTTTAATAGATAAAGCATTCAACTTTGACGATAACGAAGTTTTGACTGTATTTCTTGTATTGCTATCAGTGTTATTAGTCTGCTTGTTCCTCTTTTTCGGGATAACTTGCTGGTAAAATAAATATTTTTTAGTTTTTCTAAATGATTAACAAATCATTCAACCAAAAGATAAAATGCTATATATACTGTACTGATTATATTTATAAATTTATTATAGAAAATATCATATCAAGAAGAAGGAAGAAGGACATGGTAAGCCAATGTTTAAATATCATTTTATCACCTATTCTAAGCAAAACTAGAATTTGAACCAATAACGGTGTAGCTTATTACCTTTACAGGTCTATTGATTATATACTAGTACCATGATAATATCTTTATAATCGTGCAAACGTGTCCAGTGAGACATAAGAGATAACGACTAGTATCTATGGACCTCCAAACTATCAGAGATGGGATCAGGTGACATGAAGGAGTGAGCTGACCGGTGTGCTCTTTGTCATTATCTGGAAACAACGGAAAAATCCGTCGTAAATTTAGTGTATAAATAAGTAACCAACAATTAAAATGAAAAACGTCAGTCAGCATTTGACTCAATAATAAATTGTATATGCTGACAAGATCATTGTATCGACCATAGAAATGAGACTTTAAATAAGACTTCTGATATTCTTGTTTCGTTAAATTGTTTGTCAATAAATTACCTCATTTTAGAATTGTTCATACGTAGACCATGCTCTGGTGTATCGAATCATCTGAGATATATAAACTCCTTATGTAAGTGATAAAGGTATATTCCTATATAAGTAAAGGCTCGTGTGGATTAAACTTATTAAAAAATAAAATAAAGTATTTAGTGTTTTTAATCAATTTCATTTTAATTCCTGTGTTGAATGATAAATATCACGATTTAATTATTTTTCAAATGAGAGTAAAAACGTACGTGCATTTTTATGCAAATAAATAATTTATATTTAAAATTCACAAAAGCTTATTGAACTTTCTACTAATCACGAAAACGAATTATTACATAACGAAAGAAATACATGTAACAGCAACGGTTTGTTTTAAACCTTGTGAATCGTTAAGTGTTCTATAAATTGAATTGAAAATTGTTCATATGAACAGACATAAACAATATGATAGTTTTCAATGGTCATATGAATATCTGAACATATCAACATAACAATAAATATATTTTAAAAAATCAAATTCAGATCTTAATATCATTTAGATAAAAATGTTATTAACAAGAGGTATCATTCAAATTGACCTAATTGAATTAATTAAAATCAAAATGCTGAATATTTAAAAAAGAACTTACTACTTGATATTCCAAAATATTTTATCACTTTTTATATTTAAAGACGATATTCATAATGCGTTATACATAACCCAAGAAGGAAACAGAGAAAACAACACTTAAAGCAGAGAAGATACGTCTGGAGATCCAGTCTATGGTTCTTGTGAAGACTCTTGTTATAGTACATTAACACTGAGGGTTAACTATGGCCCTATACACTCATGTAATCAAAGCGGACCTTCTGAAGATGTTAATCCTTATGGCTATTCGTATAAAGAGAAGGGAAATGTAGCTAGAATACAAGGAAAGAACGACAATAATATTTATTTCGATAATGAAAATGTTCAAATGCATATATTTACATTCAGTGTATTTCTCACCAAAGAAATGCATTGGAAATTCAAAACATTCAAATTCCTATAACACACTCAAAACCTAATCACGGCGTATGAATACACAACTAGAACTACATATGTAGATGTAGTCTGCTAAATGTAAACAAATAGAAATATACATAAAGTCAAAATGGATGAACTTCAACCAAATTTTAATTTAAATTTTGAGGATATGGACATTCTTGAACTGTTTTCCGACACAGATTTTGATTCCTCTCTTGCTGAATTATCAGGAATCAGTGATTTAAAGGTAGATCTAAAAGTAAAACCTGAGGTGCCATTGCCTAAAACAACCAGTTCCTCTGATGAACCAAAAGCAAAGGTAGCAACAATTATTAGCAAGAATTAAGTTTCTTAATTAGTATATATATAAAAAAAATGTTTTTTACTTAATTATTTATGAAATTCCAAAATAAAGTAAAACAATTATAACTTTATGTAAGGCCTAAATATGATTCTAAATAGAACAACCTGCATTTTCACAGAGATTTAAAACTGTAACAACTGAAGAAATGATTAGACTGTTTGAATCTAGACAGGCAAAAACAACAAAAAGAAACACAGCATGGGGGATAAGAATTTTTCAAGGTATCTAGGCTGCAAATTGACATTTGTATAAATCTTTCAGGAGTCAAAATTTGTTGTATTAATTGCTCAAACAAATACATGACTCCAAAAGTTACACAATGTCATCTCACACACAACTAAATAGATTCATTTTAAAATTTATAGACTGGAACATAGAAGTATACGGTACCTCTCTGGACATGCTGACAGTAGACATCCCAACACTTTCAAATCGTCTGTCAAAGTTCTATTGTTCTGTTATTTTTGTTATACTAACTATCCTGGCCCGGGTTAGTTAGAAATTGTAATCGGGTGTGCATAATTATTAATAAATTTATGTAAAAAAAAAAAGTTCTATTGCGAGGCCATGCCAAAAGGCAAAGATGACGATGACAAATCCTTGTACCACAAAAATAGTCTCATCAACATCAGAGCAGCCATTAATCGCCATTTAGCTGATCTTCGCAGAGACGTCAATGTTGTAAAGGACAAAGAATTTCGCACAGCAAATGGGATCCTGGATGGCCTTTTCAAAGAGCGGACGCAGCTTGGCCTGTCTAAGCCTACGAAACACAAAGAGATTATTGAAATACATGATCTACAAAAGATATATCAGTACCTCAAAGGTGCGCCATCATCACCAGTAATTTTACGTCATGCTGTATGATACTTTTTGGCCATCCATTTCGTAACAAGAGGGCTAGAATTTCACCATCAGTTGAAAATCGACAGCTTTGAATTTTCCTCTGATGAGACTGGAGAGTATGCTGCACTAAAACACGAAACCCTGCAAAAGAATAATCAAGGGGGGGGGGTTGAAGCACATGATACCCACAATGACAAGCGGATGTACGCAACTAATGGTGAAAACAATTGCTGCCCAGTTGAGTTACTAAAGATGCTCATATCAAAAACTGATAAAAATGCCACAAGTCTATTTAACCAGTACCTAAAGAATCGAATATTAGATCCTAATGTTTGGTTTGCAGCTAAACCCCTTCAAAAGCGCACATTCAGTAAGTTTTTTAGCAGAAATATGCGTAGCTGCTGGCGTGGATCGTAAATACACCCCACATTGTTTATGGGCCACAACCATTACATACCTCAACGACCAAGGGTACGAGGCACGGCATATAATGTTTATGTCAAACCACAGGAATGAAAGTTCCCTCCGATCTTATAACAGATCCCTCTCTTCCCACCAGAAGAAAACTATCAGCCATTCCCTCTCTTCCATGGCTTCTGTCTCACTCCCGTCTCCATCTACAACAGTAGCTCTACCTCCCCCTCGTGTTTTGAAATCGCCACAACTTGAAAACTCACCACGTGAAACCATGGCTCTTTCGTCCTTGCCACCTACATCTGAGCTGAACCTCGCTACATCGACTGCCGTCCCAGCACAGTTCACCATGAACATGCAAAACATTCAGCCTTCGACTGGTTTCTTCACAAATGCAAATTTCAGCGGCTGCACATTTAACTTTCGTTAAATTCAAAATGGCGACTGAGGACCGTATCACTCATGTACAGTTTGTTATTACGCATTGAAGTTTGAACATTTTATCTTTTTAAGCTTAAAACAAAAAATACAACATTGAGAGATGTTATTACTGTTACATTATTATTACATTATTACTGTTTATTGCTGTTTAAAATAAATTAGTTTTGCCAAAAATAAGCTTTTGTTATTGTTATTTACAAGAACTATACTTTTCATTGGTGACGTATGTCAGCAGCTGATCGGCTCTTCCGTTTACGACACACACCGATTCTGAATGGCGCGGAATTTAAATAAGGAATTAAAAAAATGACATTTACAGATAGGGAAAAATTGAAGAACGTAAATATAAGCATTGAATTCATATTTTGGGATGTCTTCGGTCCTATAACACACCTGGCCGCGCGTTATGATAATTTGCTGGCATGGTCAGGTGTGTTATAGGACCGAAGACATCCCAAAATATGAATTCAATGCTTAAATGAGCTCAACTCAAGGACAGTATGAAGACCCGTGGAGAAATGATAATGATAACTCTCTTTTGCGTCACTCATCACAAAGGAGGTTTGACCTTATGCCAATTGATTAATCTTACAGTGCTATACGGAGAAAAGAATACGGACCAAACGAGCTGGCATCTAGCAACTAAATGTGAAAGTCTCTTTCAGGAGAAGTAACACTATAATCCTGTAAACGATGATAAGTCGTCTCATTAGTATATTAAATAAATATTAAGTAAATCATTGAGTGTCCGTTCAATAGAAACAAATAAAATGATTTTTCTTTAGTTAAGTATCTGCCTCAGAGCGAGATCATTTATGATGTTTTAAATCAAAATTGAAAGCTACTCATATTATAGCGTCGCCATTTTGTAACCGTTAAAATTTGTTTGAGTGGATGAAATAGAAATATGTTTCCCACGACCTATTGTAAATTTACTTTCGGGTAGATCTACTTCATCTCTTCATTTATTACCAACTATTGCACATTTGAGCGAGATGAAATGCTATAATTTCCGCAAAATGCAGCATTAGACTTATTATACATAAAAGTTTAAGAATCTCGCAAATAGTACAATATCTATATTGATATAATGTATATTTCTTAAAACCATGCTTCAGTTTGCTAAATATTCAGAAGATGAATAGATTATCTCATGTATATGTTTAATATTGTAAGGGTCAACAACAATACATACATGTACATATTAAAGTCAAAATTCAGTCATTTATTTTGACCTATGTTATAAAATAGCAGTAATAAGGAAGAGAAAACGAAATATACGTCAATTATTCAACTTCCCTTTGTGGATCTTTTTAGCTGATAAGTGTGTCTAGTCGAGCAAATGTTTTATGTATGATTTATTTCATAACGAATATAGTCAAGTATAACGATCAACGTTTTCCATTTCAAAAAATATGATATCACATGCAAAATTATATATTTCAAGATAACGAGTTGAGTTTATACAAATGATAAATTTTAAAAAGTCCAAAGATGTGTTAAAAATTAAAAATAGTGAAAAATCTTCCAAAAATTCTATTTAATTTGTTTCTTAGAAAATAATATTACAAATGACCCGTTGATAAAGTCAATCCAATGATATATCGACGTCAAAGAAGAGAATCGACTTTGTGTTCAGTCATTATCATGCTATGATGTCATTATATATATAGATCTACCTCATAACAGAGACGGAGAGAATTAGGGAGGAATTTTATTTCTTAGCTGTATTTCTGAGAAAAAAATTCTATTCACAGGGGAAGAAGAAAACTCATGTACATTCTATATGACTGAATAAAGAAAAGGGCGACAAAAGGGTTATTTTCAAATAAATTTATAGTTAAAATATGACAAGTTAACTGTGATATTTTCAATCTTTTAATCGTTTATATCTCCTAGATGGAGATGAGCAGGAACAACAACATGTCACCAGTAAACACAGAAGCAAACAAGTTGCACTACCTGCCCCCACGATAATTTCGACTTTTGCAGCTGTGCTTAAGTCAGTCCATTTGGCAAGTAATTCTCATAATAAAATTATATAGTAACGTAAGGCACTAAATGAATTTTACCAAAAAAATAAAAATGAATTATAAATTTGAATCTGTAATATACGCAACTTATTACCTCAGAATCTTCATTAAAGTTGTTATTTTGATTATTCAACACTATAAAAGTTTTTTTTTTATTTCCTTATATTTTTTTCTGAAAATGTACATTGTTTTCTATATTTGTGATACGTTTATAAATGTATTCATTTAAAAATATAACATTGATAAAATAATCCGAATATTTTCCACCACTTAACGGTGGATTGTTGCAAATTTTGTCCTATGATTGGCGCTTAGGGCCATTGAGCAGGGAGGGATCTTTTCCGTGCCAGCACCTACACGGAACCTCGGTTTATACGGTCTCAGGTCTCCACGTCCCACAGTTGGATTCGAACCCACGATGTAAGGATCAATTGCCTACTTTGCGACTCTAGAGTAGACGATCTAACCACTGCGCCTCGCAGGCTAATTAATGTATGCATATCAGTTTTTTTTTCATTTTGTAGAGAATTCATGAGTAGAACTATGTGTATAAAATATATTTTAATTAATGTACGCATATCGTCAATACAAGTATATTGAGTTGATTTTTTTTTAATTTTGAGGAGAATTCATGAGTAGAACCATGTATCTATACATTATAAACTCTGGGGTATAGTCGGGGCAAAACATGCTTAAAATTATGATTTATGATAATACATGCGTATTGGAAAAACAAAAAGGAGTCCTAACAAACTTTTGTAAAAGATTTATTTCGAGCAGATTGAAGCTGTATTAAATGCAGCTGCAGAACTGTAGCGATATGGTCAAAGACTAATATATAAAACCTTAACACTATCATAGTTCTGCAGCTATATTAGATGCAGTCATTTTGTTCTATGTCGTTTAACTTCAGATTAGGTAAAGACATTTCTCTTTTAGACTATAATTGGGCCACAATATTATATGTTATATGTCTGTTCATGGCATTGAGAAGTGCAGAATCTATATATATCATGCCAACGCTTGCCGTGGCGCCACACGGGGCCTCGGTTTTTAAGGCCTCGTCCGAACGCCCCGCAAATTCCACTTCAGAGTGCCGAATGCATTGTCAAGGAACAGTTGCAACCTATTTTTATTTACTTAGGTCAACTATGGCGGTGATTGGCAATTTTGACTTTCCGATTACGGAGTGTAAATTTTAGAAATAAATACATAATTTGATCTGAGAAAGTAAATTTTCAAAACCAGGGTAGACAACTGATATATAAGTTCATGATATACGAGGGGTTATCAAAAAGTTCGTGGACTGAAGCTATAAATTGGAACTATGTAGTCTGTGCCTTTAAATTCTACACGGAACATAAAACAACAAAAAATAAAGAAATGTTGAATATTTAAGCTTGATACCTTCATTGCCAAATTATTATAAAATAAAAACGACATTTTATGTTAACCCGGCGCCGTCGCCGTTTAGTTTCATGACGTCCGACAACGTCATTGTTTTTCAATGTCCGCTTCTTCTACCTCATACACTTATTTTGATGAGATTCCCTGGAGCTGAGTAAGGACAAAAAGCCGCCTTAAAATTGCTTATATGAATTTACAATGCCATGAACAGCGGCTTTCAATGAATATAATATTCCAAATAGATATATACATTGGAAGAAATCCTCGATTGATTGTGCCAGCATATTTTGCTTTTGTGAGTTCAATATCAACAACACATGATCAACGTCATTTTTTTGATGTGATTGATTTTTCATACCTTGACGACTACAAATCGACATTAACTGTACATGTAATCCTTTTCTCTTCGAATTTATTTAGACATTAAAAGACAAGTGTTCTGAATGCATATTATTTCTTTGTAGTCAGTTTAAACAATTCTTAAGTCTATATCATTTTTTTCAGGTGCAAAACCTTATAGAATGTCTGAAAAGGAAACCCCTCCCCCTTTTTATGTCATTTTCAAGGCCTTATTTGTTTGGACATTTCATGTAAAATTTACGATAATATTTCATAGAACTTCCAGAATGAAGTAAAAATTTCATATCTAAAGGAACAATTGTGTCCCAACACACACCTGAAATAACGGGAATTTTTGCATGTCAAATGATCATATCAAAAGAGTTTTTCTCGGTCTCACATAGATCGCAAAAACGTCGTGTTGCGCCGACTGGACATACCATTACAAAAACATTACTAATTTATTGAAAATTAAAATTTATGATTAATAGTTTATTCTTAAGATAGAAAACGTGATCCTGAATAGATTTTTCAGAATTCACTGATGTAACTAAAGCGCTTGTCCACGAACTTTTTGATAACCCCTCGTACATGAAGGTTTTTAAATAAGCTCAATTAAAGT